CATTGTGGAGGTGACTGTCATATTAAAAAAGGGCCTGGGCAAAGTGCTGCAGTGGCCCAGGGTATTTTTGAGGGGCAACATGCCTTTTATAAGTCTTGGTGATAAATAACGCATTCAATATGACCTGCTAGCCAGGTTTTGTGAACAGGAGGCTTTGCGAAGTAGTCGCAGGAAGAACAAATAGAAAATGCATTGGTTTAAAGTGGTTGTCTCCATCTCTACAACAAAGAGGAGATTAGAACTAGTTCAGCCATAGAACTAAAGTTGTTCCCATGTCTCCTTGTGTAGTGGTGTGTGCCATGCTGGGGTGCCTGGGCTTTAACACACCCTGCAGGCTCAACAGTAACCACCCGAGGTTGTCAGACACATATGGCTTGAGTGGCTTATAACACATAAGTGAGGTGCCTGATATGATGCCAGCCTGCCCATTTTGGACTCCAGATCAACCTCCCTGCTGTAGTTGGGTGGATGAGTTAGGGGAGTGAAGCCAGACCACTGTCAGGGCTCCCCCTATGTATTTTACCCTCCCCAACCCCTTACTCATTTCCCTCTTTTCTCCCTAGCAAAAGCTTACAACCCAGAGTTTTACTATGACACCCCCAACCCCACGCTGAGCCAGAAGCAATCCAAGAACTACTCCTACATCTTGCAGTGGACACAGAAGGAGCCTGATGCGGTGGATCCCATCCTCAGGTATCGCCTGGAAGTCCGGCCGGTAAGATCCCCAAACCATTGTTCTCAAACACCACACCCTTCCCTGGAAAGACAAGGAGGTTAAGATGGTTAGGATGCAACAGGCTCCACTTGTTGCAGAAGTGAAGTAGTTGTAGTATTAACAGAATAGCCAGAAACTGCAGGCATGGACATGCCTTTCCCTGCTGAATAGAAGAGGGAAGCCGATTGTGCCACTCACTGGTGATTTTGAAGTCTGATTCTGTGGATGTGGAGAGCTGAGGCGGCCTGCTGCCTGCCTTTGGACTTTTCTGAATGGGGTTTTAATATGAAGAAAACCCTCCAGCCATTAGCAGGTATTGTCAATTTTATAAGCCAAAGATTCAGGCAGGTAGAATTTCAACCTCTTCACTCATACTGAAGCTGAAGAGCCCTCCAGGCTGGAAATGCAGGGAAAAGTTGTTGGCTGTTTGTGTTACAGAAGGGCTTTCATACAGTCACAATAATGAAGTCACTGGAATTATATAAATATAAGTTCTGTGGTCACAAAAGGATGGGTTTCAAGGATGCTCCAGCCTAAAAGAGGGCAGAGAGCATCCAGTGGGAGACTGGTGAGTGCTTTGACTAGACAGTGTCAAGGGAAGGAATTGGACACTTTTTTTCTGAGCATGTGAAACAGACTGTTTTGCGGGACACTTCCATCTTTTTACCTGGGTCATAACACTCTCTTCTCTCTAACTCTGCACAAAAACCAAGGATTTTAAGATTGGTTCACCTCAGAGTTTGAGGACATCCTGGTAATGAATGTGTTTGGTTGAAGTTTGGGTGTAAAAAATTATTTACTATATATACAAAACAAAATAATTAAAAAAGATCTAAGTGTCTGCTTCCTTTGGGTCACAAAGTGCATCTTATCTTTATGGCTCTGTCAATTGGGAGGTCTCCAGGGAAGGCTTTGCCTTTTATATTTGTTTCTCGTACAGCGCAGAGCACATTGTCTGTGCTTAACAAATACTGATACTATAGGACACAGGGGAACTCCTTATAATGAAGTCACTTTGTCATAGTACAACTTTACTGTAAGCTGAGATTCAAAATAAGCAGAATTGCAATTTCCACATTTGCAATTCACTGAAATAATTCAGGGTTTTTATTGTTTTTCCATCCTTAACCAAGTTTCTCTCTAACCAAAGTGAGTACTTTCAGTCTCGGATCGGATTCTCATTTATACTGGGGCCCCTTATGGGGGAGAAAAATTACATTTGCACCTCCAGCATGATGTCAAGGAACCTAAATGCAAATGAGAATCAGTCCTGCTATATATTGCCTCTGCCCTCTCTCTTTGGCATCGTTAAATTCTAATAAGAAATATCTTTTTCTGTAGATGCAATTTAAACACATTGCACAGATTGATTATTGGTTATATGCTACTACAATAGAGTATGATCTACAGTGGAGCCACAGTTAAGTATACTAATCTCACCCTAAGACATGCTCATATCGCATTGCTCAAAGTTCCTGCATTACTTTGGCCTGGTCCTGAATAAGGTATGGCAAAAATCTGGAGGACGGATGGACAGCGCTCAGTTGTGTATGAACCGGGAGCTGAATGCAATAGGCTTCTACTACGCTGCCCTCTCTTGGTTCTGTTTCTTCACTGGTGATCAGAGAAGCACAGGACTGGAAGGGGCTCCCTGAGCCATTGTATCCAATCATTTATTTGGAGGGTGCTCCTCTTCAGCTGTCCATACTTGAACTGCTATAGAGCTTCTTCTAGTCTTAACTCTGTGTACCCTTTTTCTAGGTATTCCCTCCACACCCAAGGTTTTAATAATCCCCTTTCTCCTGGTGACTTTTAGCTCTGTCTCTGCACTCCCAACTTGTTTTCTTCCATTCAGTCCTCCTCTTAGCCTCTCTCCAGCATATCCTCCTGGAGGTTTCAACATCAGCCAACACCTAGTAGCCAAAACAGTCCTCCTGGTCCTCCCACTTCTCCCCCGCAAGCCCTTCCCC